CCCAGGAGTTGGAGGTTGCTGTGAGCTGTAATGCCACGGCACTCTACCCAGGGGGACAGCTTGAGGCTCTGTCTCAAAAAAATAAATAAATAAATAAATAAAAATAAAAAAAATAAAAAAAAAAAGATACATGATCTTGCAGTAAGGCTGACCAATACTTTAGTATTTTGGTTCAGTCTTTCCTATGTTATAAACAAAAATTGTTTCAGTGCTCCTCAAACTCTTCTTCTAACATATCAATGGCAGAGTGAACTCATACTCTTATACCCAAGGAGATCAGGAGATATAACCCAAGGGCCACAAACTAAACTTAAAAAAAAACTTTAATTATATATATTTGGCATTATATTCTATAACTTATATGTATTTGTTTTAATATTTAAAAAAAACTTTTAGCTGGGTGGCGCCTGTGGCTCAAAGAAGTAGGACACCAGCCCCATATACCAGAGGTAGCAGGTTCAAACCCGGCCCTGGCCAAAAAAATAAAAAAAAAAAGAACTTCAGCTTTCTTTCTTTCATTTTTTTTTAAGAGACAGAGTCTCAAGCTGTCGCCCTGAGTAGAGTTCTATGGCATCACAGCTTATAGCAACCTCAAAGTCTTTGGCTTGAGTGATCCTCTTGCCTCAACCTCCCAAGTAGATGGGATTACAGGCACCCAGCATAACGCCCAGCTATTTTTTAAGACTGGGCTTTCTCTTGCTCAGGCTGGTCTCAAACCTATGAGCTCAGGGTAATCCACCTGCCTCAGCCTCCCAGAGTGCTAAGAATATAGGTGTGAGCCACTGCACATGGCCCTTTTTCTTGAAATCACCAAGTACAATTTTCATGGATCCCATTTATTCTGTGGCTTCACAAACCTTTCTGTATACCACTGTGCACATTTGTAAAAATAAAAAACCTTGGGCTCAGTCAGTTTAATATAATTTTAGTTTCAACTTATGTTGAACATTAAGAGAAATTTCAATTGCTTAAAGAAGTGTTGTAAGAGATTGGGCAATATCATAAATGAACCAACAAGAGCAGAAGGCAAATGTATTAAGTACCCAAGGAAAGAAGTCAAAAGGCATGGGGACAAAATTAAATCTTACACTAATCCAGCTGTCCACCCCTACTTAAGTCACATCCAGTGTCTATCAAATTCTACATGAGCTGAAGATTGCTATTATTCCTTACAGATGTGGCTGGGGCCTTATTCACTACTTCCACTCTAGCATTTACCACAGACCTGGTACACAGTAGGTGCTCAATGAATTATGATAGGTAGTACTTAGTGAGTACGTAATATATGTCAGGCACTCTTTGAAGCACTTGATATACACCAACTCATTTAACCGTCACAGCAATCTGATGTGGAACACCTTAATGTCACATTTTACAGAAGAAGAAACTGAGGTAAAAAGATTTGTAAGTAACTTGCTCAAAGTCACAAGGCCAAAATGTGGCAGAGCTGGGACTCAAACTCGGCCAGTTTAGCTCTTGTAAACACTTGTTGCAGTTTGGCCAGGGCTGGGCTTGAACCTGCCACCCCTGGTATATGGGGGGTGCTGAGTCACAGGTGCTACCCCTCTAAATGCTTGTTGAATGAATAAATAAGCAAATAAATGATTTGTAAGGAATGAAAAGCAAATATTTTAAAGCAGAAGACTTTTGCTCCTTACAGTGCAGTTTGTTGCTTCGGCTGTTGAGTGGTTCTGGTCCATTCACATCTTTGCTCTTTTCATTATCCTCAATAGGTCGGAAATGAGCCAAAGTTCTCATGAATCCACGAAAGTTTACCTGGTCCTCTCTGATGGGAAAATATGAAAAATAGAATACCATGTCAATCAAGGTGATTCTTTCTTTCTTTCTTTTTTTTTTTAAGAGACAGAGTCTCATTTTGTCACACTCGGTACAGTGCTGTGGCGTCACAGTTCACAGCAACCTCTAGCTCTTGGGCTTAGGTGAGTCTCTTACTGCAGCCTCCCAAGTAGCTGAGACTACAGGCACCTGCCACAATACCTGGCTATTTTTGTTGCAGTTTGGCTAGGGCTGGGTTCAAACCCGCTACCCTTGGTACATGGGGCTGGTGCCCTACTCACTGAGCTATAGGCACCACCCTTCTTTTCTTTTTTTTTGAGGCAAAGTCTCAAGTTATCGCCTTGGGTAGAGTTCCGTGGTGTCATAGCTCACAGCAACCTCAAACTCTTGGGCTTAAGTGATTCTCTTGCCTCAGCCTCCCAAGTAGGTGGGACTACAGGTGCACACCACAATGCCCAGCTATTTTTAGACTGTAGTTGTCATTGTTGTTTAGCTGGGCTGGGCTAGATTCAAACCCTCCAGGTCTG